AAAATAATGAATGAGTCAGTGAACGTCCATTATGGTGACATCATGTTGACAGCAGCCATTACCTCATGTCACAACAGTCGGCCAACTAAACCACATGTGCTTTGGGTTCCACTGCTCTCCATTCCTCCACTTCATACTTACATTAGATTTATTCAGCGACTTGAGGCTCATGTAAAGGCTTTCTATAACCAGTGACTCAATATTTGTCCTTGCTAGAATAAACGGGCAGTGTAAAGTGCCTTGGGAATTGTAGATTACTGCAAAACTAATGCTAATATTTGCTTGCCTACAGCCTGTTGTGGTTGAAGAGAAAAAGCCGGTTGAGGTACAGGTAAATACAGCACGGTGGTGGGACTGTCTTCCTAAATAAAATCAGTCATCAACTATTTACGTACTTACATTTACATGCTTTCTGTAAACAACAGGGTATAAAACGGTGTCGCATCACTACTGTCATGTTCTTCTGAGAGAGAATACATGTTAGTATTATTAAACCTAGAATTATTATGTTAACCTGTTTCCAACTTTCAAAATGAAAATTGGGAAAGGTTTGACAGAAACTAGTAAAATAATCTACATTTTTACAAAAATTAATTTTCAATTAAATTGTAATCTTATTCATCATGATAAATGATTGTAAATAAATGATATACATTTGTGTGTGTTTGTGTGTGTGTGTGTGTCTGTGTGTATTTGAAGACTTCAGATGTAAAAGCCTCTAAGTGCCATCTGAAATTTTCTTCTAGAATGATCATTTTTATCAAGCTCCTATATTTAAGTTCAGTAATTTCACTTTAATGACTAATAATAGGTAATTGTCATTGCCATTAAAGTGAAATAACTGAATATAAACATACGAGCTTGATAAAAATGATCATTCTAGAAGAAAATTTCAGATGGCACTTAGAGGCTTTTGCATCTGAAGTCTTCATTTTTTCTTTAGTTTATGGGAAATATAAGTTTATCAATATCTGTAAACCAACATTTGGTCTAAAAACTAGGTATTTTATATATATATATGTGTGTGTGTGTGTGTGTGTGTGTGTATACTCTCAAATATGTAATATATCTTATATATAATATAAGAATATATATATACATATAAATAAATCTAAATAAAATTTCAAAATGATATATATTATTATATAAATATATTATTTAATTCTCAAATATTTAAAATGAAGTCTGCAACCATGTTAACAAAAGTTAGGACATGTCATACATTTACATATATAAAGAATTTAAACATTTCTTGACTGTTTTATACCCTCATTTTGGAAAGTGCCACAAGAAAACGAGGCTCAAATTCAGCGGTCTGTAGTTAAGCTAGATGTTGTCTGTTTTAACCTCTCCACTGATGATTCACACAATCAATTGACCACCTTCTTGAATCCTCACACTGTTCTTTCATTTGCTGTTATCAAAATCCTCTTTTCCTGCTCTTCCTCTGAAACACCAGGTAGACGCATCTAAGAGCAGCACCCTTGAGGCTTCTGCCAAACCCGAAGAACCTCCAGCACCAAAACCAGAAGAAAAGAAACAAGAGAAAAAATCCACTTTTGGAAAGATGTTCAAACCCAAGGTAAACTCCAGATGAATTAAAGTCCAGGTGCACGTGTGTGAGTGCATCAGATTGTGTTTCTGCATTGGAGCACTGCATGCAATAACAGGTTTGTGTGAATTTGAGGTACTGCTAGGCCAAGTGAGCACTAGGATCCAGGCAGCCGCGTCCAGCGCTGCCGCCAGCATCTCCCTCATGTCTGCTAGATCGGTAAATGGCACAAAACGGTGGCCATTCTTGCATTAACCAAACTGATTGATTTTGTTGCATTGCTCAACCTTACGCCTGACATGTGTGTTTGTGTTGTCTGTGTCTGTTCCCTGGCACTACAAGTTTAATCGATTTTTACAGGGGGGAAAACACATATCTAAAGGCCGTTCACACCAAGAGCGATAACGATAACTATATTAGTGTCCACTCCAGCGGACGACGCTGCAGTTTATGTTGTCTGACGCCTTGTGCACTGTTCGAATTCTGTGTACACCCTTAATGGAGCGGGTCAAATTGACCCTAATTGGATTCAATACAATTCCTCAAAAATCACACTATGAAAAACAACAAAAATTTAGATACAAACTGTAAACTTTTAATATCAACATTTGTCAAACATTACAAAATCATTATATCTGAAAATATGATTTATAAAAATGTTTTTAAACCAATTTTTGACAAAATTGGAAAATAAACAGTATACTGACTTTTTTTTTTTGCATATACATTTTTTTTTAACTTTTTTTTTCTTCTACATGTTATGCTTTGAACGTCGTAACTGAACAATAAAATTTTGCTGTATAATGAAAATTTTTCAATTTTCCTAAGTTAACTTTCCCTAGTTTCCTAAGACCTAGTTCCCTAGTTTCATTATTCACTCACAGGGAAGTGAGAAACCAAACATAGCAAAAACATACATCAAATAAATGTTTTTTATTAATTTTTTGCCTCTGTGAAGCTGCCTTTGAAAATCCTACATAAAAGTTTTGGTTAAAAGCTAGGTATTTTAGATATCTTGAATATTGAAATGAGAGCTTATTTTACTATCTGTGTCTGACAAAGATTTTCATCTGTAATTTGCAAATAATTCTAAACACTGTGATTTTAGCTTTTTCAGGTGTGTTTGGTTAGGGTTAGAGCACTTGTAGATGCACTTGCACGTTAGAACTGGAGTTTTTACTAAATGTTTTTATTTTGTGTCTGTACAGTTGCTTTTGAATGGCTGTCTATGAGGGTCAAATTGACCCGCGAACATCACAAACGTAATAGTAATTTTGTTTGTATATGTCAAAACACATCAGCATGTTGAAACTTTGCATGCATGTTCATCATGATAAATGAGAAAAAGTCACAAAATATCAAGAAAAAAAAACAGGTTAACCAGCATTTCCAACAACTAGAAAATCAAAACGGGTCAAATTGACCCGCAACATAACACAAGGGTTAAATGTTCGAGCTCTAAAAGCAGGGTGGATTCTGATTGGCTGTCAGATCAGCTGGAAAAAAATCGGAAAGTGATTCAAACAATATCGTTTCTCTCTGTCTTAATACTTATTCTTTTATATTTAGAACGATTTTTATAATTATATCTTTGTTGTTATTGTTATAATTATCGTCTTTAGTGTGAACAGGCCTCTAGTTGCACAGTTATTAATCAAATATTTAAGCAATGTAATATATCCTGTATAGACTGTTTTCTGAGTAATTCATTTCTACTAAAATTCTTTACTCTCATATGATCTTTCTTTCTCTCTTCTCTATCTGATAGTGTATTTGAAGTGTAGATATGGATTGCATTGGTTGCTATATTTGATCATCAAATAATCCTTTTTTTTTGGATTTCACTTATTTGCATTAGCCTTAGACTTCATCAATATATTAATAACGTTTTATTTTTTAGTATAGTTAATATTGCATATGTATATTAAGTATATTTAAGTATTAAATATATTTTAATAATTACATGATTAAACATTTTGTTTTATAATATAATATAAAATAATATATTTTATATTTTTTTATATATAATATAAGTTTATTAATAGATATTTGGGGTGGTCAATTTTTTTTTTAAATGTGAAGCCTCTCGTTCTCATCAAAACTGTAATGATTTGATCAGAAATACAGCAAAAACAGTAATATTGTAAAATATTATTACAATTTCTTGGTAACACTTTACAATAAGGTTTCATTTGTTATTAGTTAACATAAACTAACGCTGAAAAATACTTCTAAAGCATTTATTAATATTATTCATGTTAATTTCAACAGTTACTAATACATTATTAAAATCAAAAGTGGTATCTGTTAATATTATTTAACGGACCTGAGCTAGCATAAACTAACATTGAACAGTTGGATTTGTATTAACTAACATTTAGTAAAGATTAATAAATACTGTAAGAAATGTATTGTTATTTAATATTAGTTAATGCATTAGCTAATGGGATCTTATTGTAAAGTGCTCCCCATTTCTCATTATTATCGATGTTGAAAACAGTTTTGCTGCTTCATATAATTGTGGAAAACATCATACACTTTTTTTCAGGATTATTTGATGAATTTAAAGTTCAAAAGAACAGCATTTACTTGAAATAGAAATCATTTGTAACATAATAAAAGTCTTTGCTGTCACTTTTGATCAATAAACAAAAATATTCATTTCTTAAAAAAAAAAAAAAAATATATATATATATATATATATATATATATATATATATATATATATATATATATATATATATATATATATATATATATATTGACCCCAAACTATTGAGCAGGAGTGTACAAAATATAAATGATAATGTGCATCTCATTAACCACCATTCATTTATATCAACTCAAGGCACCAGAGGCCAAGAAGGAGACTCCAGCTCCTCCTCCTGTGGCAGAAGCTGCTCCAGTCGTGAAGGCCAAAGAGGAGCCCAAACCTCCCGTCCCAGCACCACAAACGGCCCCGGACAACAAATCCATCGGGAGCACAGATAACTCCTCGCCCAACATGCCTCGAAAGCTGGAGAAGAGGAATTCCCTCCAGCTGTTCTTCAAAAACCTGGTTAAGTAAAAGCACAGAGATCACCGAGGGCTGGGGAGTTGACCGAGGACACGCGTGTCTATCTAGTTTAACTGTTCAGTAGCATGTAGTTTGTCAGTTAAATGCTGAGAAGTGTTTTGTAATTCTGTCCGACGTCTAACCATCCTGATTATTTTGGTATTGTTTGCTGGCTGTTAATCTTAAAACATAAACAAGAATCAACTTTCACAGTGTATGACCACTAGATGGCCTCAGTTACCAACATTTAGATGAATCGATTCCACTTAAATATGAACTCTCATTTGTATTGCGCTTTAATACATGCTACACGATACATTTTTAAATATCGTTCGATTAAATTGGGAACAAAACATTTGCATATGATATTTTATAATTGCATGAAATCTAATAATATTGCATGAAATCTCGTAATCTAAATGTGTTATTCTAATCTTTTTTTAGCCTCTTCATTAATTCAAATGAATTTGTGTTCATTATTATTATCCACGGTTATAGGCGGTTTCAAATGGGATCATTCCTGCATATCAGTTATCTCAGACAAAAGTGTGATGAACTAAATAAACTCAGCATACACCGATAATAAAGCGTATCATTTGGCCATTGACTATAACTAAAAGAGACGTGTTAGAGCAAGATCCACTGTTAGCTAAATAAAACAGCAGTTGTCAGACAGGTTGCTTCAGGCGCCATTACGGACGAGCAGTAAAAAAGAAAGACTTCCTTGCTAAGTTAGGATCACTAATGTTGCGTTGTGCGTTGGTGTGTCTCACAGGGCCAAAAACGCCAGTCTGATGCCGGAGTGCAAACGGACCCTGTGGCACCCGAGAAGTCCAAATAAAGCCCCGTCTTTGTTTTGATCGCTCATCTTTGTCAAAACCATTTGCCACCATGTATGCATATTTAATAGGCCCCGGGTTCGTTTATTTGGGTATGAGGTTTACTCTAAATCTGAAATTATCCCCAATCCCCATCTATTTAGTGAGAGCGGAAGTAAGTGATATTCCCTGTTAAGCAAGTGCTACATGTGTTTTTGACTGGAGGGAGGAACTTCTATTGCTTTCCCACAGAAAGACGTTGTCAGAGTTGCGTGATGTGGCATAAGATGGAAAAGTGAAAGTGAAAATGTAATCCTACATTTAATACGAACTCCATTTTCTTTATTTTCTGTGCATGTTAAAATGTAACGGTATGTTAAAAAAAATGTAACTAACACTACTCATCTTACGTTGCATTGCGCATTAAAACGTCAAAGCAAGCATGCGAGTTTCCACATGAAAAGTATTTATTTATGTAATCATACACTATCTGATTGTAAAAACAACGACCCGTCGTCTGCTTGATTCAATCAGCGTTCTCACTGAAACCTATAATGAATTAAAATGCAAAACTTCTGAATCGCTTTAGGCCCTGTCCCAAATGGCACACTTCATATGCACTACGGTCTAGTAGACTTACAACAGTAGGGTCTGTGTGCGTCCCACAGTACTACAAACCACGCCACTACAAGTTACGCCTCCTGCTAAGAAACAAGCGTGAAGGTCTTGGACTGAAACGATCTTTTCAAGTACATTTATTTTATGTTTATGTATGAAATGTTTGTAAGGCCAACTTATTTTGCTTTCAAATATTATTTAAAGGGATAGTTCACCCAAAAATGACAATTACTCGCCCTCAAGTTGTTCCAAACCTGTATGAGTTTCTTTCTTCTGCTGAACACAAAAGAAGATATTTTGAAGAATGTTAGTGACCAGACAGTTGATGGACCCCATTGACTTCAATATTATTGTTTTTTCTCTTACTATGGAAGTCAGTGGGTCCATAAACTGTTTGGTTACTGACATTCTTCAAAAAATCTTCTTTTGTGTTCAACAGTAGAAAGAAATTCACACAGGTTTGGAACAACTTGAGGGTGAGAAAATTATGACAGAATTTTTATTTTTGGGTGAACTATCCCTTTAAGTATGAAATATCAGCTATTAGAAAAGCATAAAAGAAATGATAATACAGACCTATGGTAATGATAGCTAAAAATCGACCCTTAACCCTAACCCTACCCCTTCAATCAAATCAAAATTTACTATAGAGTTTCATAATTTAAATACTTTAAAACGGCTACACACTAGGAAAGTGAAGTAGAAGAAGAGCAGTTCTAGTGACAACATCAGGGTTTCTAGAGAGAGGTGCTAATTGGCCGTTTCATTTTAGGGGGCGTAACTTGTAGTAGGGGCGTGGTTTGTAGTACTGCGGGATGCAGTCGGACACACTTGTTAAATCCCCGATTGTCATTCTCGGTGTCAGAAGGATGCTTGCGAGCGCCACCTTTGCGGTCGATATGTACCCTCGATGTGTACTTTTGCAGAGACTGTGAGGAAGGTGCAATTTGGGACAGGGCCCTAATAGTTCCATAGAAATCAAAATGATTTATTTAACCGTATATCAATATCAACATTAGAACACTATATATTACATATTAGTTATTTTTGTTAGACCCGGGTTTTGTAAAAAAAAAAAACTTTTTTTTTTTTGTCATTTCAACTTTAAATATCTAACAGATTGTTTAATAATTATAACATACTAAACCAAATTTCAAGTAATGTTTTCTTTTCTTTTCTTTTTTTTTCTTTTTTTTGCTTGGCTGTCCAGTTCTGAGCAGGAGAGACTAAAAGAGAATTAAGCTATTTACATGTTCTTTCATGTTTTTCTTCTTCCTTTTTTTCTGATATTTTCTTATTTTGTGATATTTCACATCACTTGCTATTAGAACATTATATAATTATGTTATACAATTATGCAATATACAATGTACATCCAGCTCTCTGATGCAGTCACATGTGTTTTATGATTTTCTTCCTAATTTTCTCTACGTTTGTAAAGAGCAGATGGGCCTAATTCAGAATTCAGACTATATCCATGAATCTTAGACATTCTGTATTTCCTTTGTTGCATTTATATCTATTTAACCGATTTATAAAAATAAAAGAATCATTTCTCTCCTCTGTAAACTGACTCATTCTGTATTTAAACAAAGAAGGAATATATATTAAATATATATATCTTTTTAAATTTTCTGAACAAATGTTTGGCACACTGCAAAAAAAAAACTCGTTTTCCAGTACAAATATGTAAACATTCTTGAATTAAGACACGTTTACTTGAGAAGTAAAATTATGTAAGATAACGAGTCTTGTTTTTTATTCTCAATGTCTTCATTTTTATTTGATCTGGTTTATAATTCATGAGTTCAACTTTTTATGCTTTGTTGTCTACTTGTGTCTTTGTCTGTATTTTATTTAATGGTTATTAATTGGTCAACGGCAGTTGTTTTTAATTGTGCTTCATAGATACATTGAAATTGCTTTCTGAAAAAAAGATGAAAATTAAATGACTAAAAATATCTACCATTTAAATAAGAAAAATAAACTTAATTTAAAGGGAAAACCATTTTTTTACGCCATTGGCAGACATTTGTTCTTGTATTAAGTGTAAAGACACTTTAAAAAAAAAAAACAAGACAAGTCATTTTGCTTCTCAAGTATCTTGATTTAATTTTTTTTATATATTTGTACTGAAAAACACGACAAAAATACAGAGGAAGAAACTCTCTTTTTTTGCAGGTGTAAAACTTTTTGCTATGCAAATGATATGTGGTTCCTAGGGTGCTTGTTTAGGTGTCCCTAATCACCTCTCCATCCATTCATGATAAATTATTATTTAGGCTACAGCTAATTTCTTAATAGTTTACCTTATGAAATGTGATATTTCCCTAGAGAGCTTTGGCAGTCTGTATCAGTACCGCCTGCAGGGCAACCGCAATTTGGAAAACAATTAACATGTGACAAAAGATGCGTGGCATTCCCAGCAGCACTTCCTGTGAGTGCAGTGCATGTTCCCATGCAGGCGCACTGTCCCAGCTGTGTGTGGGATCCTGGCCCGGGGGAGGGGGTTTGCTGGACCCCTGTCAGCACTGATGTGTGTCACAGCCGATACAGAGAGATTAGAGTATATGGATCAGATTCCTAGACCCTCAGGGGGCCGAGATGTTCCCAGGCCATGTTATTGGAGAAAGATAACGCCACTCTTAATACTCCCAATCTAATTATTCTTTCACAATTCTTTGTTTTTTCAAAGACAAAGTATATCTATACACATTTATATGCACTTTTCAAATGTTTTTGAAAGAAGTCTCTTATGTTCACCAAGGCTGCATTGATTTGATTTAAAATACAGTAAAAACTGTAATAACGTGAAACAGTATTAGAATTTAAAATAACTGTTTTAATATATTATAAAATGTCTATTCCTGTGATGCAAAGCTGAATTTTCAGCGTCAACTCTTCAGTGTCACATGATCCTTCAGAAATCATGATAATATGCTGATTTGCTGCTCAAGAAACATTCATTATTATTATCAATGTTGAAAACAGTTGTGCTGCTTCATATTTGTGTAAAAACTATGATACCGTGATATATTTTTTTAGGGATTCTTTGATGAATAGAAAGGTCAAAAGAACAGCATTTACTCAAAATACGAATCTTTTGTAACATTATAAATGTATTTTCTGTCATCTGTGATCGCCTACTTTTGATTTAAAAATTGTATTAGTAAATGTTGAAATTAACATTAACTAAGAATAGTAAATGATGTAGAAGTATTGCACATTAGTTCACTTTAGCTAATGTAGTTAAGTAACAAGTGAAACCTTGTAAAGTGTTACAACACACACACACACACACTGGCTTTTCATGTTTTATTGGGACTTTCCATAGACATAATGATTTTTACATACCCTTAAGCCTGAACACAGAAAACTTTCTGCATTCTTACATTTTCAAAAATATATAATTTATTTTCTTCATGGGGACCCAAAATGTCCTCTTTGTGTATTATTCTCTTTGTGGGGAGAGAACCCCTCCCCCCCACACACACACACCCTATAAAGTTACAACAATCTAGATGTCTCAGTGCTTGAGGAGGATTTATTAGGTGTGGTACCTTCAGGTTTGAGTGTATTAAAGAGAGCTGGTGACAGAGGGTTTGCTCTGGGAGAGTGAACAGAGCTGGCATTGTCCTGCAGACCCATGACCGCTCTCATAACTGTCATGGACGCTTCTCTTAGAGAGATGTGATATCTCTGAGACGCTCACGCAAACCTGAAACAAGCGAGCTTGAGGCCTGGTGACCCTTAAATAGCTCACTCAAAAATATCTTTTGAAACTTGTTTGAAAGATAGTCATGCATGTTTGGAGGAACATGGAGAGAGTGATATACGTATCACAATATATATATGTTATATATACAGTTATATATACGCTCTAAAAAATGCTGGGTTAAAAACAATGGGTTGGGAAAGGGTTGTTTTTACTCAGCGGTTGGGTTAAATGTTTGCCCAACCTGCTGGGTAGTTTTATTTAACTTAACTATTGTTTAAAAATGACTGTATTTCTTTCTTAAAATGAACCCGATTCCCGAAGTATGTTGAAAATGAACATTTATTAATAGGTTTAATAAATGAACTTTTATTAATAAGTTTTAATATTATTGTTGTTGCCTATAGTTATTATGTGTGTGATTTTTAATTTCCAACCTATGGGTTATTTTTAAACCAGCCATATAGTAAATTTTAAACAATAGTTGGGTTAAATAAAACTGTCCGGCACACTGGACAAAGTTTAACCCAACCGCTGGGTTTGTCAATTTTTTAACCCAATGGGTTGTTTTTAACGCAGCATTTTATAGAGTGTATATTTCATGTTTCTCTTTATCATATTTTATTTCATGAAGAGTTACATCATCAACACAGTCTTTGATACAGTTCATTTCTCTACCACAAGGTGTCTCTACACTAGACCTTCTCAGATTTCACTAAGTGCAACATATTCCCAGATCAACATCTTTGCTGATCCTGGAACAACATTTCAATCGACCAATCAGGTTTGAGAGACAGGTTTACAGTTTATGTCAAGTTTAGGCTTTCAACAAGGATTAGGTGCTTCTACATCTGTGTTATTCACCTTTCATTTCCCTCTGGTTTTAGGGACAAGTTAGGGTTAGGTTTAGAGGTAGGACTATTTTTAGACAGGAATGCTGTTACAGGATCAATAAAATCACGGTGACCAATAGTTCTCTCCTAGTTTGAGAGGCTGCTCGCTGCAGAGCCAGTGGGTGGAGCTTGACGTCTCTCTGTATGTAATAGGTGGAGCTAGATGTCCAGCCACACCCTAACCCCACCCATTACACCCAGAGAGGTGGAGTTGGATGTCATTTGGCTCTGCAGTGAGCACCACTTGACTGGTTTTGCTCCAGGATCCAGATTCACATTAGACCAGTGTTTTCAAAGCTCCATCAGCAAAGGCTCAACTACTTCTTAATCAACACCACATCTTCATTTTAACTCAAATTATACTGGATATTATTCAAGATTGTCACTCGAATGAATAATGTCTCTTAAAAAGGATAATGTGGCTGAAGAACTCATATATCCTGCTATGAGTC